ACCCCATCAGTGCCGACCCAACTACACCACCACGCGCATGCCTCGCGGCGGATATGCGCAGCAGCAAGAAGGTTTCGGTCATCCCTTGAGGGTGAGTCTAGCCCTGCTCGCCAGAAAGACCCCCCCCTTCACTACAACCCATGTCTAAGCAAAAGCTTGTCGAGGAGCGAGGGGAAGAAGGGAGAGTTAGTGCATTGCAGAAAAACTCGGCATCTACTTTACATGTGTACGTGCGCCAAGAGGTGGAGTGTATTGGGGTAACGAACATGTCATCCCCTTTCCCTTGAACCTTCACCATGCACAAAGACATCGTCTTGAGTCCCGTCTTGAGTTGGGTGCAGCAATAGCCGTGCTGTCATGTTGTGAACCACACTTAATATCGAAAACAGTAGCAGCAGCTGGGCGTTGTCATGTCACCCCCGTTTTGTCCGCAGGAAATTCGTTCGTGTTTATGGGAGGCATACACCACCTGCAGAGACACGCATGCTCCTAAACGTTTGCGGTGCTCCAGAGCTCTTGGCAATCACGGGGAGAATAATGTAGAGTTGTTTCTTGCTCTGCACGGGATCTTGGCTTGAGTGCTGCGTGGCTGGAGCGTGCCTTATGGAACGGTCAGTCGTTCTCTCCGCCCGCTGATCCATTCGCTGCACGACATGGTCTCAATAAACGCACGATCCTCAAAATGACCCGAAAAAAACAGGCGCTGCGATGGAGACGGCATCAACCCTTGTACCCTGTGCGCGACCAAGGGCGTGACGTGTGCCTACAGCAAGAAGGGAAGAAGGTGCGTGGATGGGTGAAGTGGCGCTGTGCACCACGCAACCGCCTTTGTTGAGAAGTTGCGTCCGCTGCTGTTTTTGCGCTTGAGGGGGGTGGTGATTCGGGATCTGTCTTACGTTTTCTCCGAGAGCCGTGTCATCCTACTTCGTACGATATATTGTACTTGGCACACATGCATATGCGTCCGATCTTTGGAGCAAGCAGCCATTGACAGGGGCGGAACGAGGAGGTAGATGCATGATGGAGGGCAAATAGGCTTTGGTGACGACTCCGGTATAGTCGGGCTCACACAGTCGACCCGCTCGGCCGTTCCGCGAAGACGGTTGTTGTGTCCCTGAGAGGTCTTGGCGAGAATTCCGGCGTACCATGGTTCGTGTATCTCAGCACCATCATTAGGTACAGCAGTTGTACCGTCGCTGGTATATCTGTACCCGCCCTTTCGTTAAGAGTAAAGCTCTTCGCCACAACGTGTTCAACGCCCCCCCCCCTGCTCCTCCCTCCTCTCGAGGACGCGTGGTCAATGGCCCCGGCTTCGCAGGGATGCGAGGTCAATGGTCTAATGACTACGGCATGCGCGGCTATGAGCACGCACACCCCGCCGACCCTCCGCTTGCTATTTCGATGTGCACGTCGGCGTGTTTCCCAGGGGTCCTAAGCCGAAACCTAAACGTGGACGTGAGGGTGAAGGGATGTTCCTGTTCGGTGGCGAGACGGAACGAGGACGGGTCGGGGAAGGGGGCATTCGGAGCATGCTGGACTGGGGGGGGCAGCAACAGCAGCAGCAACAACAGCAGGTGAGATCGCTGTTGTTGGTTGTCTTTATAGCGGCGATGGTGGTTGCTTTAGTGGGTGTTTCAAGTCCCTCCCGATAACCATCATAGCCTTCGACTGCTGTGGCACATTTTATCTCTAACTGGTAAAAAAGTGCTTCTTTGATTTGTAGGCACATTTCTTTCATAGCCTGCGCCGCTTGCTGTTTTGTTTGGTGTTTCTCCTCGTGTCGCTGTTGGCGCGTTTAGAAAGGTTGTACGTGCATTTTCTACTAGGACCTGCGCTGCTACTGGTGTGTTTTTTCGATTTGTTTACTCCTCGTGTCACTGCTGTTGGCGTGTTTTCAATATACGTCCATATATGAACAAACATGTGTACCCAGATCAGCGGGCAAAGTATTTTGAAAAGAAAGCCTGCGTTGCTGTGTTATTTCTATTTTTGTGCTCCTTTTGTCGCTGTTGACGGGTTTCAGTATATTTTCTACAAACGCCTGCGTTGCTGTGATCTTTCGATTTTTTTGCTCATCGTGTCGCGATGCTTCCACCGTCAGAAGGAAGGGGCGCACCCCCGGCCAACGATGGCGTGGATGACGGACGGCGACGTGGTGAGGCTTACACCATCGTACGGGACGGGAACGCTAGGCCTGGAGGAGAATCGCCACCTCAACGCCTTCTTCAGTGGCTTCGGGTCCTGCACCCAGATCGTGCAAGAGG